TAGACTTCAATGGCACAGCAAGAGAGGCTGCCAGACAGCTTAAGCTATGATTGCAAACAGGGGAAGGGAGGAAAAGAGGCAGAGCATGTCTTGGGGTCTTCTACACTTAGCTCACCTTCCTGTCCATTTAATGTGGTTGTTCTTGTCTTCAAAGGCGTTCCACTCCTCTTTTTCCAGTGACAATCCAACATGGCTTAAAGCATGAAAGCTTGCATAGCCTGCCACTACTCATTCTGTATATCTAATCCTCTATTTGCTTTTAACTGGCCTTTCAGTAGTAGCCTGTAACATATAAACATTTCTATCCGGTGCCTCAGATAGAATCAGCTAATGGCCGCAGGTGTTTACATTACAGCAGTTTCCGACAGGGGACTTGAAAGGGCCTCGGTTATGACTATACATCTTCCTCTCTTTCTCACTTTCTCCCCCCCCTACTCTCTCTCATTGTCTCATTCACTTGCTCTCTTGCCCCTTGCTATGAAGTTGGTGAGGTCACATCCCCCCCGGTGCTCCCTCAACTACCCCCAGCCCTCAGCTCAGATTGTGCCCAGAGAGGGGTTGACAATCCTGGACAGGACAATAGGAACAGACCCCCCTTTGTTTGGGCCTCCATGCCTGGTGACAGTCCCAGTAAACAGCGGGCACAGGCTGAGGCCAGGCTGGGTGAGCTGCACTGAGGGGCCTTTGACAAGGGGAACTAAAGCAGAAAGGCAGAACCAACAGGGTTTGAACCTTCTGTCAACGAAACACACAGAAAACTGCCAAAAGAAAAGTAGCATTTTCTCTCAAGTCCCTAAATTTTAATGCATTTAAGACAAACTAAGATGTTGGGGCCTGTACTGTTACACACACTGAAATAAATGAGTAAAATAAAACATAATGCCTACCTTGCTATTGAAAAGAGTGGCCACACCTCTGCCAGTGGAACAGCAACTTTCATGACTACACAAAGGTTATACTCTTACTGGTTATAATGGAGCTCACAAGAGCTTTACATATGAGATTTATGGTCAGCTACTTCTACTTGTTTGGTTAGTTTTTATTTCATCGAGCTCGAACTCAGCGTTTAGCCTGAAGCATTTTCACTGCAAACACATGCACTCTTCCCACTCTGATCTCAGACAATCTGAGCAAACACACACCTCTCCACTTTACTCCAACAGGTTGGAGCATGATACCAAGCGCCAAAGAAGACCACACAGCAGTGCAGTGAAACTTGCCTGGAAACACCTTCTCACCCACATAACATCTCTACATGATATCGTTCTCTCTTTTTCCTTTGTTTTATCTGCGGTAGGAGTTGGTGCTCTTTCCGTCTGCTTGGTTAACTCTATTTAGGAGCTCAAAGCCTGCGGTCAGAGGTCAGATTAATATTTATTTCATGTGTTGCCTCAGAGAGCAGCAGGCAGCAGTCCTTTGAAGACCTGTGGATGTAGGGAGGCGGATGAGGTTTGGTGGAGGGACCCACAGACGATACGGTAAAACTTTTTTCTTTTTTTTCCGGGGTAAACTGAGCCTCAAATGAAGCAGTGTGGGGTCGGGGTACAAGGACATGAAGAGGGTGAAAGCACATTTTTTCCCTTCCCTCTCCACCCTCCCCATCTGCCTGTCCTGTCCTCCCTATTCTACGTTTTTGGCGTAACCCCACTGTGTGCACTGCACAAACCAACGGCCTGTTAAAACAGCCTAACCAGGTGGAGCTGAGCTATTGCAAATGTTCCCCTTCTGGTGTCTCACACTTCCAGGGGCCTCATGAACATATGAGACACAGCTGTGAGACAGGCAGAAGAAAAGAGAGGGGGTGGGTATATGAAAAAAAAGTTTCGAAGTTCACTTTGAATAGCCTGTTTAGGTTTGAGGTTTGATGTCATTTTCAAAAATCTGGATCCAATATGGATTTTTTTTAATATTCCTAAAATGCTACACATCACTTCACTTTAAAGGATCAGTTTTCAGATAACTCAGCTGGGGCTCATGTTTTGCCAGATATATTAGTGATTTAGATAAATTTACAAATGGAAAAAAGTGGAGGAGATAAAATATTCATTAAGACTTTTATTAGACTTGAGCAACAACAAATATGCTATCAAAGAAAGAAAAAGCAAATAGGAACTGGCAATGGCAACCAAACCCTAATGCCATTCTTTATAGGAAAGTAAAAACGCCACATTTTCTGCTAAGAAATACAAGATTTTCCTATTTGAAATGCTGCACCTTGCAGGTCTCTTTGCTATCACTCACTACCTACTTTGGTCTGTATTTGGTATGTCCTGTCACCCCCATGTTTGTCTGCAACTGGATACGGCACTTGGGAACACCAGAGTAGCTCGGAATTGATTTATGGTTCACAGCAGTCCAGCCAGACCCATCAGTTATACTTGGTGTCACTGACAGTCAGAGATACCGTTTTAGTTAAGCTTTCCATAATGCCCAGCTTAGTAGCGCTTATCCATTGCAGGATGTTATCACTCAGGCACTCTGTCACTTGTGTCATCAGCGCCAAGACCGTTGCTTGACGCTGAGCCGGTCTCCTCGCACGGTCGCATGCTTATCGGCATCCATTACGGAGGTGTGTGGGCCTGATAAAGGTCTACCTAGTTTCATGCAACTCCAGGCAGAGGTCCCATTAAGATTCCTGTCTGTGCAGTTAGAGGCCTTGGCCCTTTGACTCTTGCTCTCATCACTCTGCGAGGCTATGCTGGTCTGTCAATCAGACGGGGACCCTGGGTGATCAGTCAGGTCCTCTTTAGGAGATGCTGGTCTGAGGAGCCATTAGAGAGTAGGCGGCATAGCCAGACTGGCCACGGCCAAAAGCTGATGAGAAACAGAGGAGCAAGGAGGGCCTGAGGTAGAAAGTGGGGGCGGGGGGCAGAGGAGCAGGAGGTGGATGTGCTGAACTATGTGGATTGTGAAGGGAGGGCAGCTCTGTTTTCTATTTGTGAGGATTAGGTTGACAGATCTGTATTTAGTTTCTTTGGGCCTCGAGCTGCAGCTAATCCCCCTCACCTGCAGCGGGTGCCCCCCTCTCCTTTCTTTCTTTCCTCTGACCCTGCAGCCCCCGACTTCCCCTATGTTCCCCCCTCCTGCCCAGCACAAACACTCATCCCGAGACAAGCACATGACTCGTTGCACTCTGTCTCCTCAGGTTAGGGCCTCACACTCGACACAAATCTCTCTTGGGCCAGAGGAACAGCGGGGGTCTCAGGCTTTCTGGAACAGAAGAAAAAGGACCCCGACAGCCTGTGGTCTTCCACATATTAGGATTTTTTCAGCTTGGGTGAGGGGTTGTTCCTCATCACTAAGAGATAGCAATTACTCAGAAATTAAGAGCCATTACTACGGAAGCAGCTTGTCAAAGCCACTCAGGGGAAAGGGGGACCTTTGGTAAAGCTACACATTAGGAAATATTCAGGGTCAGGTCAGGGGCACAGACCTCTTCTCTTTAGATCCTGGCTCCCACACACTCTGACCAGGCCTTCACACTGTGAAAGAAAGACCACAGTGCCTCTGCAAACACACACAGCATGCCTGCCAGCAATTCAAAAAGGTGGGGACTCTGGATGACCTAATAGTTACAGAATCTAAGCACATTTCTCTGTTTTAACAATATAGCAACAACATGACGCAACAAAGAGACAGAAACAGGCTTTGAAAGGTTGGTGAACAAGCACTGTGTGCAAGTTCCTCACAGTGTCATACTTATTTAATCTCATTGTAATGTTTGGAGCTTAAAACTGCTGCAATTAGTCAATTACTGTCTGATACACTAAACTGAACTGCTCACAAAAGAATGAGCAACATTTAAAGCAACTCACAAAGCCCTAAAACACATGTTGGCCAGCATGGCCACAACCATCATCAAATTTATTTTTAAAAATCACTTCCACATGGCGAACAGAAACAATATATATTTGCTTTCTCGCTGACTCTAACCACAGCTAATTAAACCCCCACCCACTCTACAGAAACCACACACACACACATGCAGAAACACACACATACAGTAGACACACCTTTGGACAAGTAGCAGCAAGCTCAGATCGAGGGTCTCATTACTGAGCCCCGCTAAGAGAGCTAATGGGGATTTTTTTCTAAACACTACCAGCAATGGCCTCCTAACTCACACCAATGAGGTGCTAACTGGCCCACACGCATTCCTGGATCTTATTAATGGACGTGGCTTGCAAATGTGCCCTGACCTTTGGCTTGAAGAATAAGACTGGCAGCTTCTTGCAGTCACTTTCAGGCTGATGTATGTCAATTATAGAGTAAATAATCAAAAAGGTATTTTATATGATGTAAACATCTGTGCAATATATTATATACTTCTTTGTGTTCCATCACAGTGCATCACAGTTTAGATGGTTACTGACTAGATATCATCATCCGTGGTCTATACATAGTGGGGCTAACAAGTATAAATAAAATTGAATTGAAAATTAATGGAAATATTAACAAAATTTGTTCAATAAAGACCTCAGCAAAAATTCTATCAACATTTTTGCCTTTTTTTGGACGTAAAACAACAATTTTCCCACTAAAACTGTGACTCATATCACAATCTTAATATCTGTCAAAATAATTGCAGTATCCCTTTTTTTTGTGCCTATCATTCAGAAGGGCTCAGACCACTCCTACACAATAGCAGTCATTAAAAAAAAATGTAGAAAAGCACAATTAAAAAGTTGAAATGTGTGTGCAGCCATCTGTAATGCAAGAACTCTGCAGTAACTAAAGTGTATTTTGCTATGAAATACTCATAGCGAAGTAGAATTAACAGAAAAGAAGTAACAGGAAATATAAATACTGAAAGAAAAGTGCAATACAAGTAAATGTAATTTACTACTGGGATTAGTAAAGACTGTCATGCTCATTTTTTTTCCCAAACCCACATTGCAACGTCAAGTCCAATCTCGCAAAAACACGCGAGATTTCCACTCGATTCTTACGCGGGAACATCAATAAATACACTAATAGATGATTAAAAATAGATTTACCTGATGGGATCCCTAACAGCACAACTGCTTTGCGAAGTTGACAAACTCCGTACTGAGTTGTTGAACAATGTCGAAGTCATGACGGACTGTCAGCGCGCCGAAGATGAAATTAGTCAGTAAGTTCACAGTCACCTGCCAACGTCATGCTATGCTAGGTTAGCTCGTCGCCATTCCTCTACTCGGCCCAGTGTAACGGCTTTAACTGCGGTCCCGCATCTGTCTAGCAGCAAAAGCTTTATTCATTTAACTTGTCCGGTTGTAATGAGTAACTCCACACAGAGGAGTTTAGCTAGACTTTACTCTTAATCGTGGTTTCCAGTTCGCTAGTCGATAGAGATAATGCAAGAAAGCAGCACTGCTTTCTTGCATTATTTCTATCAACTAGCTAGCTAGCAGTGTGAGCTAGGTGTGTTAGCTAACTGGCAAAGCTACCTTGTTGTATTTGGCCTCCCAATGCAGTCAATTAACGCTAGTGACCGCTGTCTACATGTGTAGAGGTGGTTGTTCTTGGAACAATACATTACATTCATAAAGAAATTCATTTGTGTGCATTTTTTTTTTATTTGAAACCAGCTAACCTTATTGACAAAACTTGTTTTTACATAAATGATCAGCAATGATAGTTTGACTTTTAGCATGTACATTTTAATTATTAATCATAAATATAAATACATAAATACCTATATTTTATACTTTATATATATTTATCTTTCCTTTCATGGTTTTTTTTTTTTTAACTTGTGTATTGCTGCCACAGAGGATGCTATAACAATATTTTGCTGCTGTAACACTGTCTTTTTAACATTGCTTCCACAGTGACAATAAAGGACTATTCTAATTGTTCTATTCTATAAACGTTTGTCAAATTAACAAATATGTTGACGAGGTAATGATAAAGAGAGACAGAATTCATGTTATATTCAGTGAATCCAGAGTACTCCACAGCTGTTTTTCTACAAGCAAGACCAAAATAATATGCCACTCTTGAGACAGCGCTAGTTGCCAAAGACTTCACAAACAGAACACCACAATATATACAATACGTTGTTTTGGAATAGCTTTCCATTTCAAATTTGTGGATGCACTTGACCTTTGGAGGCTGTTATGGAAACAAATAAACAGCACTCCTTTCTTGCAGTTGCAATATTAGTATTTTTGGATAAATGTAATTTAGCACCTTCATTTTGAAGGTATTAGTCAGAAACAAACATTCTTGTTTGGTTGCTACGTCCATAAATAGTTTCTGTAATTTTCCAGAAATTGAACCAATTTATGTCTAACTGAATGGAAAAGGAGTCTCTGTCCTGGGTTTTTGCCAGCCCGCTTTTAAAAGTATAATTGATAGTGACAACAAAAATAATTGTCTGTTGTTTTATGGTAATTTTTGCTGTCTTTGATCCACTGTCGTTATGAATGTGTCTTTACTTTCAGCAGGGAGATTTTGACCCGCATTGAAAGCGTTATTGTAGGAATAGTGACCAGTCTGTCCAGAGATGAAGCCCCTGTCCTGGCACTGCCCAAGAGATTCAGCTGGGCCAACGTCAGGTAAGTTGACTTAAACAAGCCGTAACGTGAAAAGTTTTCCTCTTCACCCTGAACACTGCAGTCATTTTACACACACTGTGTGGGATCCATGTAAGCCTCTTGACCTTTCAAAGGTAAACACAAGCAGTCATGTTGTGTAAAGAAATAAACATTTATCTACACCGTTTTTTGTGGGCGGTCAGGCCACACAAGATGATTAGATTGCTGTTTAATTTCCTTAAGGAGGAAATACACACTTCAGCTCTGTCTGAATTCATGCAAGACACATTTTATGCAGGCTGCAAGAGCAACCAGGCGGCAGGAAAAAAATCTAAACGTTTAACTTTGGTTCAGAGAGACTGAAGCTGAAATAACTTCCTGCTGCTTAAAAGATGAAAGAGTGATAAGGAATTGTAAAGCGCTGTGCCTACATACACAAACACAAATTTGTTAAGGGCTTTAATGTGACTAGGATGTGGAGGCCTTATGCTCAGAGCTAAAAGGACTGCCTGGTCTTGTTTTTATCAAACCTTGCAACACCTTTTAAGCACAGCATGATTTGGCTCAGCCCTTTCAAATGCGAGAATCAAATAGATTGAGCGCCAAAGATGAATCAGGAAGGTGATGTATGGAGGAGCCTTCTCACAGGCAGCCCTCAGGGTCTGGGGAATTTGAGATAACTCGCAGATGGGAGCTGATTTTCAAAGGTTTAAAAGTAAATGTGGAACACAGACAATTTGTAGATTTATTTAGTTGCCTCTTTTTTTTGCATTGTTTTCCACATATGTTTTTTCGTTTCTTCCCACTTAAGCTTTGACAGTGCCATTGGGCTTCAAATGAGCTCAGGATGCTCTGTCACCACCATTAGGAGCGACTGCCCTTCATCTGCCACTAGATTTGGTGAGAAGTTACACATATCTCTGTTTTTATATTTTCTCATCTGGCCCCATTTGCGACTTGTCTGTCCTTGACACGTGACGTTCTTTTTAGTTAAACAAAAACTCCACAGTTGTTTGGCACTTCATGTGGCTTTCATTTCTATTTATCAAGAACATATGCATAAACTGCACATTGACAATGAAAGTTGGATTTAGTTTTAGGTGACAAATTTGCAGTGACAGAACATGTTGAAACAGGGTGTAAAGGGTTTGTTTACTACATGTTTACAGAATATTTTATATTTTCCTCCTCCAGTTTAAAAAAAAAAAAAGAGAGAGAGAGAGCGATATAGCACTCGTGTCAGTGAGTATAGTGTTTGATATTTATTAATAATAAATATATTTTTGTCTTTGTTTCTCTGTTTAAAGCACAAATTCTTAAGATTCTCTCAGTCATCTACAGACTTGTGCAGAGCAACTCATTTGCTACCAAAAGGTTATTTGTCAATAATGCGCATTTCACTATAGCAAAGTCAAATTCACCTTCTTTACATACCAATTCATTTCAGTAACACAACTTGATGTCGCTCAGATGTTGCTGAATTTCTATTTCCACAGAGACATCTATTACAACAACACACAGCTGTTTGGTTCGCAGAAAACTGTTGACACTATAGTAGATGACATCTCCTGCATGCTGAAAGTTCCTCGTAGATCTCTGCATGTGGTAAGTGTGCACGTCTCTTTTAATGTGAGAGAGTGTTTGCATGGTTATGTGATTTGTATTGCAGAAAACAAAAACCTCACATACTTATAGGCTGTAGCAAAATACAGTTCTTTTGGAGTAGTTTAGTTCTGACAGATGAAATCTGTCAGTTTAGTCTGGTATTAAATTTGTGCTCTGCTTCATATCTCAGGAAACACCTGTAGGGGAAAAATATGGTTCTTCTGATCAAACAGAAGTAGAATTACAGTTGAATTCAAAGAGCCAGTCTTGGAAATATGTGTGAATACGTGTGTGTGTGTTAATATAAATTGTGTGGGTGTGCCATTTTTGTGTCACTAGTTGGCTACATCCAAGGGATTAATCTCAGGCGATCTGTGTTACATGGAGGAGGACGGCACAAGGATCGACTGCCACTCCAGCTCTGCTGTAAGCCCCACCAACAACCTAACCCAACTACCCTATCTACTGAAGAAGTGTTCACGTCACTACACTGAGACACATTACATCATGTATAGCTGGATTTATGATGTTTAAGTTAAATGGTTACAGCTCTCAAAAAATGATTCAAAAACTATAAGTCTTATTAACGGCAGACAGTTGAATCCTTTTTATTTCTAGTCAAATGTCAGAGTTGATGTATTGCACCAGTGGGCTGTATAATATATATGGAATGTGACATCGTCTGCCAGTCCACCCTTAATAATGATGAGAAAATTATCCATAAAAGTTGTACAGCCATGGTGTCCCTCTTCCTGGATGGACAGACTTGAAATAGATGTCATTTGCACAGAATTTACAGTTGTGGAGATGTGAAGGAGATGTGGTCAGCATGCTTTGTCCTGCTGTACGAGTTTCCATTGCCTGTGGAAAACAACAGATTGAAAACAACATGAAGCAGGTGGAAGAAAAGCTCAGCAAACTGCTGCTTTTCATTAACGTACGTTTAGCAAAGCCAGTTCCGCTTCAAACCTTCTGTTCACCAGGATCAGGCTTTCTATCACAGTGAACAAAAGAATGTAAACAAGGGCATTGCATGGAATAATCCTATTCAGTAATTATACAAGGTGGACCTTCCCGTTGTTTCTTTTTATCACAAAGTGAAAGTAGATGCAGCTATTGTGGGGACAATACAATCCTGTGCTAATAATGGGTGAAATCTGACACTGAATTCCAAATCACAACCGTAACTGCTCGTATCACCCTCTTATTAAATCCAGTTCTTGATCTAATGGTATCGTGAGGAGTCGCCATTGTAAACTGCATAACTATAACAACAAAGAGCTTGGATAGCTCTGCTTTTTCTAAAGCCTTTTTTTATTTTTTATTTTTTTGTATAAAGCAATTCTGTAGCTGCAAGCCTTTTTTTTTATACTTCATTGCCACCTTTAACAGTAAATTACTGGCACCCACTTACTAGTTTGTGTTCTGCAGTTGACAGAAATGTGTGACACATAACTAGTGTGTACTTGAACATGTGATGCAGACATTGCTGTATAGCGCTGCATGACGTGTCAAACACTCCACAGGGAACCTTACTGTCAACCACACCAACTGAAGTATGAGTACGCTACCACTTGCTCATCAAATTCTTATAACCTTGTTTTGTTTTCAGGCTGTTTCAGTTTCATCAAATATCGTTGGAATTAGAAGTATCCTTTGTAATGTGTTTGCAAATTCCCACATGCTTTTCCTTTTTGCCCCCGTTTGGGTCCATCAGTATTGTGCACTGCATATGCTGTATGTCATTCTGTGTGCACCTGTTTTCGTTGACCGTGTTCAGATATCGCATCATCTGCAAAATTTATCCTGATAGTTGAGAAGGATGCAACATTCCAGAGACTGCTGGATGACGACTTCTGCACAAAGCTCTCTCCTTGCATCATAATCACAGTGAGTTCCTTTGTATTCCACTACTTGTAAATGCGTCTCGAATCGTCATTGTCTGACTGTCGTCTCCTCCCAGAAAGAGCAGTATTCTGTTTACTTAGGAGGTGTGTTTGTGTGAATCAGGGCAAAGGTGTGCCAGATGTGAACAGCAGGTTAATGGTGAGAAAACTTTGGGACGTGCTGCACATCCCCATCTTCGCCCTCGTGGATGCTGACCCTCATGGTACGACAAGTCATCTCTCAGAGTGCAAACCAGTTTAGTTCTCACACATAGTTTGCATATTTCAACGCATTTAACAACACTTGACTCTCTTTTCATCTCCACACACACACACACACACACACACACACACACACACAGCTGCGTTGCATGCCCCACTAAGCCAGAAAACATTAGCACCTGTCCAGTACGTCATGGTGCCTAGTCTGGCTATTATTCCCATTGGCGTGATCTTGTCCAGGCGGGATGGCTCTGTTTCCGTCAGTCTCCATACCTCTAACCATTTTCCCATCGCATGGCGAGACACATATGTAATGCTTTACTTTGTTCTAAGCTCCGTTACACATCTCAGAGGATAATTGCTCTGGTATGCCGGTGATTGCAGCGCTTCTCTGTCTCTCCCTCTGATTTTCCTAGGCATTGAGATCATGTGCATCTACAAGTACGGATCAGTGGTGAGTCCTGCCATGCCAGTTATTCCTGTACGCTACATTATCCAATGTGGCCTGTTTAGTGTCTCTCTGTTAGCAATATGTAATTATGCCCCTCTTTGAGGAAAAAAAAAAATGGACCAATCACACATCTCAGCATATTTAAACTGACATGTATGGGGTGAAAATGTTGAGTGATCATGTGGCAACATGTCTCTTGATTTCTGCGGTGTTTGTTTAATCATCCTCATGTTCATTGTGAACATGTGTTGGGCATAACCACATTGTGAAGGTACAGTGCTGATTGTGTGTTTGTTTGAGACTCTGTGTATAAGCATGTTGTGTGTCAGTGGGACTGGGCGTGTGTGTGTGTGTGGGTTTTTCCACAGGCAATGTCGTTTGAGGCCCACAGTCTGACCGTCCCCAGCGTTATGTGGCTAGGCCTCCTCCCCTCTGACCTCCAGAGGTTTGGACTCCGCATTCGCTACTTCCTACTTCCTCCTCCTGCCTCTAATTGGGATTATATTCTGGGGACATTTAGATTGTTTGTTTTGGTTTCTGTTGCTGTTGCCTTCAGTTTTTTTTTCCTTTCAGAAACTGCATCTGAGAACATATTGAGTTTTAAGTATACATCCCCTTAAACAAATTTAGGCCATAAGGGATTTTTTTTTTTTTTACATACATTTAATTGTAGTCTATAAAGTTTTTTCTTTATGTTAACCCCTAAACATACACATAATTCCTTAGTGTGTCTGTTAAAAAATGGGAGGAAGTCTTGTGCAGGGACGACATCCATCAACAGGCGTGTCTGAAGAAATTCATGTGGTCATACTTAGTAATATCAGAATTGTATTTTTTAAGGTTACGAGTTCCTGAGGAGGCCTTGATCCCGCTCTCCAAGAGAGACGAAAGCAAACTCAACAGCCTCCTCAAAAGGCCGTACTTAACCAGCCAACCAGACTGGCAGAAAGAGGTGAGAGTAAGCAAAGAGGGAGGTAAAAACAAGAAAGATTAGAGAGGAGGATGGAAGTGGCACCGGAATTTGTCAGTTTGGGCAAATGTGATGAAGGAAAGCATCTAAAACATATGATTTCAAGTCTTGGACTGTTCCAGGAATTAAAAGTTTTAATTTGACCAAATTCTGTCCTGTGAGATCCAATATTTAAATTTTTTCTTCTTCTCTCTTTTAGCTGTTTGGTATTCTTTTTGCAAAGCTGCCAGTCAGTACCTAACATTTTAAGTACGCCAACCGTATAAAACTTCCCAAAAAATAACCGCAAAACTAAAACAATAATGGCAGTTAAATAATACCAGCACCAAGTCTAAACCTCCACTGCTCACTCCCCGCGAATGAAGCAGTCAGGAGAATGAGGAATCCGTTGTGTAAGAGAAGCAAGTTGAAGGAGTCCAACACACTCAGTTAAACCACCAGCTCAGTGCAGTTATTTCAACAGAAAATGACCGCAACTCAGACCATCCAACAAAATGAGACGGAACAAAACAAAACACAACCAAGCATCTGTTTTTGTGCTGCAGTGACACATAGGGTGAATTTATAAATATTGACAAGCAAAGCAATCCTCAGTGAGCTGATCAGTTGGTTTATAACTCACTGTGACAGGGCTCAGCTGATTTCAAGTTGCAAAAGGAGAGAGAGGATGGTGGAGGAGTAATCTGGCTCTGGACAAACACAACGCCTCCACTTTGACCTCAACTAGCTTCTCAGCAGCTCTACACACAACCATTTATTTAGTAACACAATTATTGAGATAACAAAAGCCTCATTACTCTGCCTTTTTCAGACTGTCTGCCTCGACACACTTGTGTATCCCCGTGATGTAAACTATTTGAGAGGCTGGGTTCACATAGTGCAGGGACTGGACTGGCTTGAAATTAACATGTGGTTTGTAGAATATGGATGAACTTTTCGATTGGTTTGGCAAAGTACCTTAAAATGAAGTGGGTGATTTTCATAGTATGAATTCGTTCCACTAAACTACTAAAAACGCTTGTGATTTTGAAAGTAGTTTCAATTATGGTGAATATAATGTATCAATTAAAAGAAAACACAGTGAACTTTGTCACCTTCACACCCCCAGCCTGCCACACTGAGCTCCTATGAGCCTACTTAGGAAAATATTGGCCTGCGGAACCCCATTAATGTTTCAAAGAGAAAAGAAAAAGGTGTTCTTCCTCAGAGGTTTACAGTTATAACATTTTGCTCATGTGACACATGGTAGAGGAATGTGTATGAGAGGACTCCAAGCTCACTGGTACTGAGGATACAGAGAGCCATTCTGTTGCAGAGTGGCTGTTAAAACACCTAATGATTTATGCTTGTTTGCACGGCTTCCTCTTGCATACTCATCAAAATTGTGTTTGCTCTCGTTGTAGATGGAACTGATGCAGCAGAGTAAGGTCAAGGCTGAAATACAGTCGCTGGCAGCCATAGCTCCAGACTTCCTCACCAGCATCTACCTGCCCAACAAGCTGCGCTATGGAGGCTGGGTGTGAGCACGATGCTGCCACTTAGTGGAGTCACATGTGAACTTCTGAAGTTAGTTTCAAAACGAAAGAAAGGTCTAAGGTGCAGCTGGTACACCTGACTTTATTAGACTGAAATATGAATTTGAGTTTGTATGGTTTGTAATGTTTTCATATTTATTTATTAATATTATTTATTTACAATTGTGTGCAATCGTTTTGTAACTGTTTCAGGAATATATTAAAACCCTGTGATCCCACTAACAAGTCAGAGCATGTGTTTCGTCTCATACCCTTCTTGGCAGTGCTGGTGTTCTCAAGATGTTTGGCTCTGTGGTATGTCAGTTACTTCAATTTCATTGTTCTACAATTTTTACAATTGTGCCATGCAGACTTTACAGCTGCTTACATTTATGCTTTCTGATGCAAAAATCACAGGTGTGCTCATGACAATTGACTAGTTTGGAATTGTAGTATCTGTAAAGGAGTTTTTTTCGTGAATGCACAGCAAATTAGGGGTCAAGCTGCTGGTTCTTAGTATAATGGGTTCACCAGCAGCTGCAGAAAATGTGCATTACATTGGAAAATGGGTACTGTTGTGTGCTACAACGGGGAGGAAAAGTTTTAGCTATTTCCATCAATGATCATCACTCACTACAGACACACTTAGGAAAAACACTGCATAGAAAAATACTTTGTGGATTATTTATTTTATCCATAATGTGTGTTTTTCAGGAATCGTGTTGTTGTGAAGCAAGATGCCTCAATGCTTAATTTTAATTCATGTGTGTTCTTTATGTATTATTTGAATTTATTTGTTTATTTGCAGAGTTATATGCCCTCCCTTAATCAAAATGTACATACATAGTTTTGTCAAAAAACAGTTTGAATTGTTTACAATATTTTGCATATAAATTAAATATATATATTTTAGTACATCTAAGAAACTTTTTGTGACTATACATTGTGTTGAGTCGATAAAGGGGAACATTGAGCATCGAGAACCCCCACAAAGTAAATGTATTAATTTAAAAAATGTGAAAAATATTTAATCACTAAATCAATAAATATCCTTAATTAAAAATTTTACTAAAGGTAAAGATGACTAAATATATCAAAAGTAAAAGCAACTTATCCATACGTTATGGTTGTTGTTAGTGATGTTTTATGATATATACCATTACTATTGATATGTTTTAAACACTGCTATGATGTTGTGGTTTATCAAGGCAGTTTCAACAGCTTTGTGTTTTAATAAGTAGTCCATAGAAATGTGTCATATTTGTACAAACTGATAATAGCTTGTGCTTTGGTGTTAAATGACAGCAGTGGCACAAAAAAGGTATATTTAATCCTGAACTCTCGTTGGACGGTTGTAGAAAAGAACAGGAAGTGGAAATACTCAACCTAAGTAAATTTGTAGCCGACCCACACAGGCCAATATTTTAGAAAATGTTTTTTGTTACTTTCTCAGGGAATTTTCAAGGCTTAATACCTCTGGAGTTTCTTCTGGTAATTTAATCAGAGCAGCTGGACTTGTTTGAGTTTCACCTCTCATCCAAGAGGCTTCATCAGGTCTGACTGACTAGTTGGGCGTTCCAGATACTTGTATCCTTAAGGAGCCATTAACACTTAAGTTTCGGTTTCAATTGGGGGTTTGTTGCTCCTCCCCCTCGTTGTGCCAGTGGTTAGTCCTCCCCCTGCCACAGTGGGGTTCGTTAAGATCTTCTGTGGCTGGGTGTGAATGTAGTTTCATCTTCCTGGGGAGAGTTCTTAGGACTGAACTGTAAACAGGTGAGAGGTGATGCCTCAGACCTCCACCTCTGTTAAGGGATGGTCTTTCCAGTTTGACAGATGACTTCTTTCACCCCTCTCTCAAACCATCTGTCCTCCCTGGCCAAAATCTGTACATTATTGTTCTCAAAAGAGTGTCCTTTGTCCTTACGATGCAGGTGTCCTGCTGAGTCCTGTCCTGAGAAGCTGGCTCTACTGTGTTGTGCCATGCGCTTGTGGAGCGGTTGTTCTGTCTCCCCAGTGGTCTGGGCATTCCTCGCTGCACTGGACTGCGTACACTACGTTGCTCTGTTTGTGTCTTGGTGTCTTGTCCTTAGAGTGGACCAGCTTCTGTCTCAGGATGTTGATGGGCTTGAAGTGCACTGGAATGTTGTGTTCATTAAAAATCCTCCTGAGCTTCTCAGAAACTCCTGCAACATAAGGGATGACAATGTTGTTTCGTTTCTTGGTCTTTTATTCTCTGTCTCCTCTGGGTTTATCATTAGCCACTTTTTGAATAATTTATCATTCATTGATCATTAATTACTTACATTGGAAGAAACGTGCTCAGAGGCAGTTTGTGTTTAGTTCATTAGACGTAAATGAAGTCAAAGGGCGACAGCTCCATCTGCTGGCATTACTAAGGAACTGAACAGTAATTTGAGGACAACAGGCAGAGATGCTTTATAAATACACATTGTCCTGCTTGAAAGATCTCTGTCGCTGCCACATTGCATTCTGGCTGATTCTATATAAGAAAATGACAAACTTTATATGTCCTAACAATTAAAAATAAAAAATCTAGTAGTTTTATTTACAGGTATGCATGTAAGATGAGTTTATCTGAGTGTCAACTTGCACATCTCAGCTGCTGCTATGTTTTGCTGGGCTAATATTTCACTAGACCTTTAATGCTGAACCTGCTAAAAAAAAAAAAAAAAAGTTAGGTAACCTTTACTCTTAATTTTTAATGTTTGAAATTGTAAGCAAATAATATAATAAATGCAATTTTACAAATTATTAAATAAAATAATATATACAATAAACATAATTTTTGTTTTAACAGAGCAGCATGCATAGCTATATATAATAAACAAATCCTTGATTTTTTTTTTAATCCAATCAGACTGTAGAAAACATTTGCCATGCTGCTGAAATGTTCTTTTAATCTTTTAATACGTTTCTTAATGCCTTAAAATTTAATGTTTGCACATAATTATCAATGCTATACTCTGTTGTCAGTGCCTTTCCTTTTTTATGTCTCTACGAGAAATTGCAATAAAATTTTTAAAAAATAAAAATAAAAAATGCACGGAGGCCGGTGTCCCCGTACCAATATGGCGGCCGCGGTGACGCACAGGCGCAATGAGCAGCAGCGGTGGTGACGTGCTGCAGGGCGTGACTGTGGTTTCGCAACAGCACTACTACTAATACATAACGTGTCTGTTCGTCTGCTGGAGTTTCCTCAACTTGAAGGGGCAGAGTATCAATTAAACAGGACAAACCAGGTGAGTTAACGCAAGAAATTAGTGTTGAACAGACTTTTTAAAGTTGTGGTTAATTTCTATGTTACCTCCATTGATTCTTTTAATGCAACCGATGTCCTGATGCACTGATGCTGATCAAAGCCTCTTTTTTCTTTTCTTTTTTTTTTTAAATCAGCCACTGTAAATTTCTTATTGAAAGTGATTTCTGACAGTTTTCAGCTAAAATCCTGTTTAACTGAGGAGAATTGTGAATTGTTAATTTTTGATAAATTGTTAAAAGATGTGAGTGGGTGAAATGCAACATATTGGAAATTAAAGTTGTGTACTGTTAATTGGGGTTAAACAAGTTATGTCTTAGATGTACTGTCTATTCAATTGTCATCTCACTAAGTATTTCAGGGTCAAGGTCAGTTACCCAAAAGCAGTTCATCTTTAAAAAGAAAATATTAACAGTGATAGTTCATTAAAGAGACGGTACTAAATAGCATCATGTTTGACTTTGTGGATCTTTATGTCTCAAATGGAGACGTGAACCCTGTTTTGCAACATGTGGGATCGCACACAGTTGCAGACATGTATCGGTTTCATATGAACAGCAGCCAGATGGTTCTTCCTCTCCTTGGTCTTAAATAAGGCCAAACTGTTGTAGTAGCGAGACAGGTCCTTGAGAGGCCTTCCCTTTTCTATTTGTCAAGGACAGCTGACTACACAGTGAATGAAAGTAGTCCTCTGGGCTTTTAACATAACATCCTCTCTGCTCTCAGCACTCATATGCTAGTGTGGATTCAGTCATGTTTCGCAAGGCATTTTTCATCTGCTCCATCAAAGTGGACTGGGATGTGTTCAGGTAAAAAGAAAGGACCACCTGGGAGAAAGGTTGATTGGTACTTCTAAAAGGTTTTTTTTTTTTTTTTTTAAGTTTCTTTATCACACTACCCATGCTATTTGTCTTTATTTATTGTTGAATATCATGTTAAAAGTAGGTAAGAGCAGGTTTATTCCTGTATTTTTTTTTAATGGAATCTGCTGCTTGGCTTAAAAATGACTGGAAATCTGTAAATGTTTCTCTTTTTCTTCCTATTTAGGTTGTCACTTTCTCATATGGATACAGTGATTCGCCGTTGCCCTTTCTTGACCGTTGTCCCCAGTGTTTTCCTTCATCTGGGAGGTAAAACATCACTGGGGAGCTATGCCCAAAAGTGTCCAGTGATGATGGACCTGGTCTCCAGACCTCTGGCCAGATCCTTGTCTTCTTCAACATTTTCGTCCAAAGGCACTCTGATGAATGACGGTCAGTTGTCACGAGTTGTAATGCATCCTGTTACAGATGCTTACAGCCATACAGTTATAGTAATGTAACTGCAACAAATGAGCTACATTAAATATATATATTTGTAATTTTGTATTATAATGTTTTGTTTTTACACATTTTGTAAATTATCTTAATTTAAACTTTATCTCCTGTGTTCCCTGTAGACCCAAACCACAGAGTCAACTTGCCTTCAGGCCACCTTGCACCACCTGCTGGCCAGGCTGTTGGCTCTAAATGTCCTTTCCTGGCTGCAGAGATGGTGCAGAAAAAGAACAGCGTCGTAAGAGAGGCCAGGATGGAGCTGCAGGAGGATGTCCAGGAGATGCGCTCTTACCACAGCGGTGAGCATATACACGAGATCCTTAAAGGAGGCCAGTTACGTAAATTGTTAAAGGCTTTATTTAGAGCATTCAACACTTTGGTAAGTTTTAAATCACTGTCTTGAACAGGTACAACAGGTGTGGATTTATCGAGAGCAGATCTTGTCAAAGCAGAAAAGGTCATATCTGCCAAAACAACTCACCTGCTAAAGGACAATCTACCTAAAGGTAATCCTTATTCTTCTTAATGTACAGTAAGACTAAAAAAATTAAACAAATTTGAAGATTTAAAATTCTCCTGTTTTTCGTCTCCCAGTTTCCACCTTCCAGTATGACCGATTTTTTGAAAAGAAGATTGAAAGCAAGAAAACAGATCACACATACAGGGTTTTCAAGACAGTGAACAGATCTGCCCCCTCGTTCCCCATGGCAGACGACTACTCAGAGTCTTTTCATGCGAAGAGAAACGTGTCTGTGTGGTGCAGCAACGACTACCTCGGTATGAGCCGTCACCCCAAAGTCAACCAGGCTATCATGTGAGTAGACACACTGATCCGGGGTCACCCATAACCCCATAATTCAGCTGACATGCAAAACAGTTTCATAACACTAAACTTTTTTTTTCTTTTAAGTGAGACAGTACGAAAGCACGGTGCTGGTGCAGGAGGTACACGAAACATTTCAGGAACAAGCAAATTTCATGTGGACCTTGAATCAGAAGTAGCTGACCTGCACGGCAAGGATGCGGCGCTGCTGTTCACGTCCTGCTTTGTCGCCAATGACTCCACGTTGTTTACTCTGGCAAAAATGCTACCAGGTACTTACAGAAATTAAAATGTCATCTAAATCTACATGCCTTTGCTTTGATACAAAGTTCTAATATATTTGCTCACATGTTTTCAGAATTAGACTGAAATACATAATAGTTGGGACATTTTATTTCTTTTGCTTATTCTGCTAGGTTGTGAAATCTACTCTGACGCAGGCAACCATGCGTCAATGATTCAGGGTATAAGAAACAGTGGGGTCAAGAAGTTCATCTTTCGTCATAATGACGTCAGCCACCTACAAGATCTGCTTGAGAAGTCCGACCCCTCCACTCCAAAGATTGTTGCTTTTGAGACAGTGCATTCAATGGATGGTGAGTGTACAGCCCTCCCACTGAGGTGTAACTGTTATCTAACTGATGTATCATTTATTTAATATCAATGTGTCTTAATAACGTGTTAGTTAGTAAGTAAGAACACACAGCATTTCTAGAATATATGGTTATGTTTCTATATTGATTTATTAAACTGGCATTCCAGTGCTTACATGAACTCACAAAAGAAATATTTGTTAAATCAACAGTGAATCGTTGGTGTGTTTTCAAAGCCATGCAAAGCTAATACAAAGTCATTTTTATGATCTTAAATGGTCTTGTGAATGCTGTGCTTCCTACAGGGGCCGTGTGCCCACTTGAAGAAATGTGTGATGTTGCCCACAAGTTTGGTGCGATTACTTTTGTGGATGAAGTGCATGCTGTGGGTCTGTACGGACCCAGAGGAGGCGGGATTGGAGACAGAGATAAAGTCATGCACAAAATGGATATCATCTCTGGTACCCTCGGTAAGTGGAAGCTTCTCTAATGATGGAAAACATTTCATAACACCACCTGTGTGTTACATATGACTTATTACGTGTTTCATTTCCAGGCAAGGCATTCGGCTGTGTGGGTGGCTACATCGCCAGCACCAGTGCCCTGGTGGACACAGTGCGCTCCTACGCTGCAGGCTTCATCTTCACCACCTCCCTGCCCCCCATGCTGCTGGCGGGGGCAAAGGAGTCCATCAGGATCCTGAAAAGTGAGGAAGGCCAGATGCTCAGGAGGAAACATCAGAGGAGTGTCAAACTGCTCCGACATATGCTGATGGACTCTGGCCTTCCAGTGGTCCACTGCCCAAGCCACATCATTCCTGTCCGAGTAAGGAAATCAATAATTAATTCATTTAGATGAGGTGGATGCAGGGGTCGGACTTGGAATCTTTAGTGTACAGGACAGTTTGTGTCACCATGAGTTAGTCCTACTACCATGAAAAGATGTATTTTGTCCATTGCTGCTAAGTATGAGGTGTGTCAGAAAAGTTTCAGGACTGGTGTCACTAAAGATACATTTCAAATCCAAACTACAAGTGTTAACCTTTGTAGTAATCCCCCTGGAGTCTAATTCACTTTGCCAGCCTTCTCTGCCACATTGCCATGCACTCCTGGAAGGATTCTTCCAGGATCCACCGCAGCTCCATCATCACAGCCATCTTGATGTCGTCCACGTCTTCAAAACGGGTCCCCTTGATGACTCCCTTGAGCTTGAGGAAGAGAAAAAAATCCCACGGAGCCAGGTGGGGTGAGTAGGGAGGTTGCTCCAGCACAGCGATGTTCTTCCCAGCCAAGGAACTGCTGGATGTTCAGGGCATTGTGAACAGGCGCATTGTCATGGTGAAGCAGCCACGACTTGTCCTGCCCTCGTCTCTTCTTGCACGCTGAAGGAAGCAAACGCCGCAGGATCTCTTTATAGATGTGCTGGTTGATCGTCTTTAGGGGAAAACTTGTAGTTTGTAGTTTGGGTTTAAAATACATCTTTTGTGACACCAGTCCTGGAACTGTTCCGACACACCTCGTATAACTCAAATTGTGTTTTATAATCTAAGTTAAATCTCAGACACTTTAAAGTTTGACTCTGACATACAGTGTGCGTGTTTTTAGGTTTCGGATGCAGAGAAGAACACTGAGATCTGCGACATCATGATGTCTCGTTACAACATCTACGTCCAGGCAATCAACTACCCCACCGTAGCTAAAGGAGAGGAGCTGCTGCGCATCGCCCCCACACCACACCACACTCCCCAGATGATGTACTACTTTGTTGGTATGTCCGCTTGGAATTAAGTGTCTTAGCTTGTTATGCTGAGTTCTCCTGTCAATAATTGTCCAATTCATTTTTAACTGAAATGGCGAAATGTATCAGTTACAGTCTCGAGCCAAGTAATATATTTTAAAATTTCACTACAAATTGAATTATTTGGACAGTTTTTAGAAGAACACTCATTCCTCCTGGAAAAGCTGTTGTATCCTCACCTGTCTGTGCTCTTCTTTGTCTCCGCAGATCGGCTGGTAAAGACATGGAAGGAGGTTGGCTTGGAGCTGAGGCCACACTCCTCAGCAGAGTGTAACTTCTGCCAGCAACCACTCTACTTTGAGCTGATGAGTGAGAGAGAGAAGTCCTACTTCAAAGATCTTAGTCACGCGATATCAGCAGTGGCCTGACGTCATCCGAAAAACTAAATCTTAGCAATAATTGTGGTATTTATTTAATTTATATGAAATATATCACTGCATATTAAATGTTCAATATGTGGTTAAAGTGTTCATTTACTTCTGTGTGTTTATTTTTATAGATTTTGGCCGATACGTTTATTTATTCTTTCATCGAAGTGTAAAATGTGCTTTTCAGTGGAGGACTCAATCATGACTAAGAAACTCTGAGTAAGCATTATATATAATTTCCTTCCTAAAGGCCATACAGCTACATACGACACAGCCATGTATTAGAAGCAGTTAGTTAAAAAAAAAAATCTGATAATAATACGTAGACACCATACAACAAAACTGAGTATATTGCCAGTCAATAAAGTGTTAAATGATTACAGAGCTTCCCCTTTAATGACATTTTATTAGCTCAAAAAGAATGAAGTCAATTTTAACAAATAAATGTGTAACTAACTGTCCTATAACAAAGTCAGCAGACCTCTCGTTATTGTGTGTCCTCCTTTAATTTTGATGACAGATTTGATTATTCTAAGACATGCAAGACACCAGTGAACATATGTGTGAAGATCTGTTCTGCTATTCTTCCCAGATGTTTCTTTTCAGCTGTTCTTTGTTGTTTGGCCTTCCACTTGAGTTGAAAGGTTTTCCATTGGATTCAACTCCCTGGACATACTTAACCAGATCATAGTTTTTTATTCTTAAAAAACTCCTGTGTGATTGTTTGCGGTGCGTTTGGGATCATTATCTTGTTGGAAAATTCCTCTTCTGCTAAGCTTCTCGAGACTGGGAGTCATCTCTGCTTTCCATATGTGATTATTCAAACGTACATACACAGTTCCATCTATAAATGTAATCTCCCCTGCACGTTTTGCACTCATGCAGCCCCATATCTGCACCTCCATGTTTCACAGTCAGCTCTATGCACTCACTGTGGTAGGCCTGGCTTGGTGCACGCCAAACATTCTGCACCTCATCTGATCCTAACAAATTTATTTTGGTTTCATCTCACCAAATGATGTGCTGCCAGCATCCATCAGGCTTCTTCCCATGTGCTTTGGCAAAGCTTAATCCTACAGTTTTGTGCCATTTTGGGAAGCAATGACTTTCTTGTTGGACGCCATCCGTGAAGCACGACTTCATGCGGCATCATTCATACTGTCTGAACAGTCACTGAAATGGTGACCACAGATAATCCTTGTGCCAGACCAGAAGCACGTGCTCGTCTATTTACAATGCAACAGAGAATTGTGCGTGATGTCAGTTTTCAAGGACAGACACGACACTTTCTACTGGTAGAACACCTCTGATATTCATTAGCCAACTGATACTCTTTGTACAATCTTTAATCTTCTTAAAGTTTCACAACATGGCGTCTATCTCATCCAGGCAGATGAACGAAGACCTCAAATAGGCTTTCATACTTCTGTATATCTATTTATAGCGACTAACAAAGTGTATTACTTGGTATTATTAGGTGAGTTCATTACACATTTGTAACAATCAGTGAGACAATCAATGGTATTGAATGTCCTACACTCCCATACAGAGTTTGATGTCAGATATGTTTCCGCCATGTCTTTGTGGGATCATACTGTTTTATCAACGTACATTTATCATGCCAGCCAGGATATTACTGCATATATGTGCTGCAGGCTCTTGGGAGAGATAATGCATCATATCTGTTATCACATGTGATGTGACATTGCTTCTTTCTGTAGCTTGTGTCTCAGGTGATGATTACCATTTTAGGCAAAGATTTTGTAATAAAACTACACTGTAAACTGAAAGAAGTAGCTTTTCTTGTAAGCAGTTATCTATGTTATCATCATCTTCTGTATTTTTAGTGGAAAACCTACTGATTTAGTGAAGAGGGCAGTGATGTATCATGTAGTTTTCTTTTGCATATAATCAGCTTAAGGGCAGACTAGTGGTCATCTGGATTTTCATTCATGAAATGCATTTTGTGACATTCAGGCTTTGGCCGCGTGGAGGCACACTGGTCCTCCCATATCTGCAGCTGCGAGGCTGTGACATCAGACACCTCCTCCTCTTGCAGATGACTCATAACTGGTGCAGCAGCTTTCATGATGAACCACTAGAGGGTATCAGCACAAAACAGGATATTGTGTTTCCCGTCTAGATAACAAGGGAGATCACTTTCGCTGTGATAAAATGCAGTAAACACACTACCACGAACCTCACAGCAGACTTGCAAAACCACAGATCACAGATATTACTTTAAATGAGCTGAGCAAACAGATTTATCTGCCGTTAACACGGTAGCCCTGACTATTTCACAGAGCTTTTCGTGCAAGATAGTGTATTAATGTTAAGTCTTCCATCCTGTGGCCTCTGATCACCATGTTTAGATAAAATTAGATTAATATATGCCTGTTACTCCCATGCGCAGAGAAACATCAATGAAGAGGAAGCTCTCCTCCCATCTGTTTCATCTCGGAACTCATCCCACCGTACATCTGCACATGACAGGAGTGTGTTTGTGTATCCACTGGGTACGCGTGAAAGCCCTTTAAGCAGCACTTGACATGCAAAACCTGGGATTCTGCACACCAAAGACGTTTCATCTCTTTTGCTCCGGGAGAATTATCATGAGCTCACGTTTGGAGCAACATTATGTAACCAAAGTGTTGGTAGAAGTGGAGCAGTCAGGTGATCGGCACTATCATGCAAGTGTTGCCAGCTGAGAGCATCAGTCCTTGATTTTGTTTTGTTTGAAGTTGACACTCTTTTTGCATTGATTTGCAATTACACAGAAATTTACACGACAGCTGAGTGTCATTCCTGCATTAGATTTAAAAAAAAAAAATCATTCTTTCACTTAAACCTGCTTTTGCTTTATATGCAGTAAATCAAGTAAGATGCAAGTGTTAGCAGAAAAGACTCTTTTGTGTGTTTCTCTCAAACATCAACATATTGTGTCAATGCAGGCTGCTCAGTTCCTTATTACAGAAAGTTTAAGGGCAGGCCCAACACCTCTCCGCTTCCAGGAAGAGAGTTCAAGTGGAGCAGTGATCATGTGGGCACGAGGAGGCCACAGGGGCTGTGTATGTGTGGAGGCAGGTGTTGAAATGGTGGTGCAGCGTACTGTGCCAGTGATATGGTGAATTGCTGCGTGCGTCTGATCCGTCTATGGCTGAGAGCATTTGTGTTGCGGATGTGGATGTGTGTGCAGCTTTTTAGCTCTATTCCTCATTCTGTGTTAATCCCGATGCACATCTGTGTCTCCCTCCCTCAACCCACCCTCACCCACCCCCACACTCACGTGTGCAGACGGATGAGCTGCATGGATGGATTCCCACTGCACGCACCTCACTCACACTCTCCCTTCTCTCTCCCGTTTCCTCTCACATCTCTCCTTATTCGCCATCCTCCTGCATTATCATACACATCAGTAATGAACCGTGGGAATGCTCCATTCTAAGAAAAGACACTCGTGCACAGCAGCATGCTTTTGCATTCCCCTTTTGCAGTCAGAACGCCGTGTAGTTTGCAGGCTTCCTTTTTGGCGTTTAGGCTCAGAAATAAAAATGTTAAAATTGAGGAAGAGAGCAGTTTGAGGGGTGTGTCCCACCTCATAATGAATATTGTCATGATGAGAGATAACAGCAGGCTTCCGTAGTGACATATTCTGCAACAAAATGCATCCAGACTGAATCAAGGATGAGGGAGTTTCTGTCATCTGTATGATTTCATATCATTCCTATGTAAGAAACAAGGCATAGTGTTTGTCCATAATGGAAAATACAGTAAATCAAAGGGTTCATGTGTCAGAAAGGTGTCATGAAAGTGTTCGAGAAAGGGAATTTGGTTATAAACAACAACGCAATAACAATAATGCATTACTATGTGAAGCAAGGCAACCTCACTTTACTATTTTACAACAGTGCAAATATTGCTGTAGACACATCTTGAGCCCCATAATTAATAATAAAGTGTTTCTTCAGTTAATAAAAATGCAGGAATCACAAGTGATAATGCCTTTAAAAGTTTCCATAATATCACAAACACTTGTAAAGAGCTGTGATGGTCATGTTATACTGATTGAAAAAAAAAGATCTATTCCATTGAGACCTACTGATACTGAAGTTTGAGATATTTCTGCTGCGACTTTAAATCGTAAGGAATAAACTCCTCCCTCTTGAGTTGTTCTACTGTCAACTAAAAAAAAAAAAAAAAAAACCTCCCATGCATCGGAATGGTAAAACGAGAATGTGCATGGAGGACCCTGGCACAATGTGGAGCTGCTGAAGTTGCTGAAGGGATCAAACAGTCACATTTAAGAGGGTATCTCGATGTTTTAGAGCTCTGCGATGAGTTTGAGTGGAGCAGCTCGGACTCACTGACTGATGGAAACACACAAGAGGAAAAAGGGGAAATCTCTTCGCTCAAGCAGAAGCGCCATGCACTGGCAGGGCAACATCTAACGCTCCTTTTCTTCTCCTCTATCGTTTCTCGTAAGTTATTGTTTGTCGCCGTTTGATGGACTATGTAGTAAGTGTTTGCGCCTCTCTGTAGTATGACATTGAGTCCGATATGTCTGATGTGACGCCGAGTAAAAGCGTGGAATGGCTGCAACTCGAGTTAGAGTCCGGAGGCACTTCTCTGCTCCTGCTGGACTGCCGTTCACATGAGCTGTACGAGTCATCCCACATAGAGACCGCCATAAACCTGGCCATCCCGGGGCTGATGCTCCGGAGGTTCAAGAAGGGCAACATACCCATCCGGACTATCATTCCCAACCACGAGGATAAGGACAAGTTCGTGAGGCGGTGCAAGACGGACACGGTGGTCCTGTACGATGAGTGCTCCGTGGACTGGCAGGACAGCGGGGCTCCAGCGTCGGTTCTGGGTCTACTTCTTCAGAAACTGTGGGAGGACGGCTGTAAAGCGTATTACCTGGAAGGTAAACGGTTTTTTTTCTGTCATCAAAAACTAATAATCTAAAAATAATTAAAATATGTATGAATAATGTATGATAGAGTTAAATGTATCACGGTAAGCGTGTTTTTTTAAAATGTATTTTTTCTTATCGGTACATTTAACGTCCAGCTAGCTAACATTAGCCCAGTTTAGCGTCTTTACAAACTGCCGGCTGAAGCTAACAAATGTTTTCTGAATGGACAGAAAGGACCAGAAGTTTTGACAATGTGAAGGTTTGAACTTTCAAACGCCAGCTTCTAGGCGTGAAAACGAAACCGTAACTGTGTTTATTCTAACTACCGTGGACGTAAATGTGACTGACGCTCAAGCCGTGTTGTGGGTTTGCGGTGTGAAGGCTGTTGAAAAGTTTGTGTGTCGCCACTGAGATTCTCAATTAAAATTCCAAAATGGCTGCGCCATGTTTTGCTCCAGCAGGAGCAGGCATGCATTTCATGAATGGTCGTGTTGGGGGGTCCTGACAGTCATGCTTCAGCACCCAACACAGCTTTTTCCATTAAAAAAATATAATAAATCAGTTATATAGGGTGTGTCTTTTTACTATAAAATGAAAATCTAACCACATAGACTTTATGTTGTGTTTTGGCTCTTATCCAGGTGGATTTGTAAAGTTCCACACAGAGTACCCAGAGCACTGTGAGACCCTCCTGGACAGCTCCTGTCCCAGCTCCTCTCCGCCAATGTCTGTTCTGGGTTTTGGTAATCTGCGGATCAGCTCAGATTGCTCGGACGGGGAGTCCGATCGAGAGCCCAGCAGCGCCACAGAGTCCGAGGAGAGCCCCATCCCCAGCAATCAGCCTGCCTTCCCTGTCCAAATCCTGCCCTACCTTTACCTGGGCTGCGCCAAAGACTCCACGAACTTAGATGTGCTGGGTCAGTACAACATCAAGTACATCCTGAACGTCACACCCAATCTCCCCAACATGTTCGAGCACGACGGCCACTTCAGGTACAAACAGATCCCCATTTCGGACCACTGGAGTCAGAACCTGTCCCAGTTCTTTCCAGAGGCAATATCATTTATAGGTGAGTAAGTTGATAACTTGCTTTGCTGAATATGAAATACGCAGACACACTTTTCAGGGAGAAAATGTATATTTGTATGCGTATATGTTTAGTTGTTGTTGGGGGTTTTTTTGTCACAAATGTCTTGTACATATGTTATCAGCCCAAGGGAGACATTTTTGTTCCCAAGATTTAAACCAAAGAATGAATGAATCATTTTTTAATGCTTTTTAATCATAATTTAATCATCAGTTGTGACTTTACATTCATGTCAGTTTCGCGGAAGGGTGCAATATCACAGAATTGATCTTCTACAAAGCAATGACACATTAAACTTGAAAGTGAACTCATCTTTTGTTCTGTGTAGCACCACGGCATTGTGTTTCATTTTTGCTTTTGATTTGTGTTTTTCACTATGACTACTTCTGAAACCATGGCTTGTCTCTTGTTTGTTTGGTGGTTGCAGTGCTGTGTTACGTGAACTACTTTTTAAAAGGTTTACGTAAAATGAGGAAGGAAAAGTAATTTCCGTTCTCTGAGGTTGTATTTGATTCCAGGGTTACAAGTTATGTATGGTGTTGCTTAATGACAGTTGTTTGTTAATGTCTGTAACTAAAAAGGTGCTGGGTGTACTGTTCACTTGCTCAAGTTAATTGTTTAAAGCAGAAATAAGCTTACAGAATGTCACTGTAGGTTTTTTCTCTGTCAACTAAGAGCCAGAATCACATTGTAGAACAAATCTGAAAGCTGCACATTTTTGTTAGTTACACTTAATTACATGTCAGTGGATTCCTGGGGACTTCAGCTGACCCCTCTTTTCCCTTTCTCTCACAGATGAAGCTCGATCAAAGCAGTGCGGCATCCTGGTCCACTGCCTGGCCGGCATCAGCCGTTCAGTCACAGTCACCGTGGCCTACCTGATGCAGAGACTCAACCTCTCTCTGAATGATGCTTACGACTTTGTCAAGAGGAAAAAGTCCAACATTTCGCCAAACTTCAACTTCATGGGTCAGCTCTTGGACTTTGAGAGGACGCTGGGGCTGCACAGTCCCTGTGATAACCGCTCTACCAGTGAGGAGCAGCTCTTCTTCACCACACCAACCAATCACAATGTCTTTCAGCTGGACACGCTGGAGTCGCCATGAGAATCAATAGGACAGCTTTTTCGTTGTTTCTTGTGGTGTCTCTGAGCCTGTCAGATACCTAACTAGCTGACACAAGCAGTAAGTCAGTTACAGTATTCTGCACCAAAAAGGACTACATTGATCTGTTAAAGGAACAGCAGCCGTCTGCAGAAAACACGCTCTTTTAGATCCACTCTCAATGCCTTAATCTCTAACACAAGGATGAATTTTGCTATTTACCATACATGGCATTAATGAATGGTCATGTACGGCCATAATAGCAGGACATTTCATAACTTTCCTAAAAAAAAAAAAAAAGTCTAGGATTGTTGTTTGACTGTTATTCACCAGCCGTAAAACGGATGTTTATGTATTTCTTTGTATCGGTTACGAGTATTGCCTTGGCGCGGTGTAAAACAAATCTTTGGCCAAGTAGAATGTTTTCTGGGGACCAATCTGAGATGTTTTGTTGGTGCTCCAGCTGAGGAAAATAAGCTACTAAAGTGATCGACCTAGAATTATCGTCCCGTTTCTTTCCTCTGATGGTTGTCTGCAGTCACACAGAAAGCATTTTTTCTTGTGCTTTCACTTACAATACCTTCACTTATATCTGGTAATCCTTAATAGTTTAGTTACAACCTCAAGTGGCTAATGCTGTGCGTATATTTTAACTGTGATATTTTCTGCGAAATATCAAAGTCTAAATATATTATTCCCCGGAAGCGCTCCTGTACATTCTCTTGCTTATAACTGCATTATTTGCATGTGATCCTGTTTTACCAAGGACTATTGCCTGTTGTTGTTGTTGTTGTTGTTGTTGTTGAGGCCTTGATCATACCTTAACATGAAATTGAACTACATGTCAGTTACCCTGTCGAGGTATGAAGTATAAGACCGGCTTTTGCCATGATTTAAAGGAACAAATAATCAGTGTGTAAACAAACGGATGTCCACCTTATTTTTTATTCCAACATTCTTCAGCCTGCAGCTACTTATTCTGTGGCACAATAATGTTAAGGGAAACCTGATGTGTAATTAGCTGTTCTCTATTGCCAGTCTCGTCTCAGAACAAATGAATGAGTTGGATGTATGAGAGGAAATGAAAGGAAATGACTTTGACTAATGTGTTCTTACCTCACAGAGAGACACTTTCAGGGATTTTTATACAAGGCACTTGTATTTTATCATGGCCTCTTTAAGTGCACCCAAGGGCTGTTTTGTTTGGTATGTTTGTAAAGATGTACATAAAATATGGTTTGTGATGGGGGACATTTTCTGAAAATCATGAAGGATAAGAAAGTGACCCTATTTGGACCCTTATGTATATTATATGTAAAGCTAAATGTCCGAGACATTCTGTACAAGTTTATACAACAAATATATTGTATATTTTTACTTGAATATCTTTTGCTTGGCCTTTTTATTTTTCTGCTGAAAGTTGATAGCACGCTTGCGTGGAACAAGAGAGAAGTGTGGTTGAGTCACAACCAAAGAGTGCTCTGAGAAATCAGAGAGTTGAACGTAGTTGTTCTGTGCCGTCCAGCCCCGAGGCTGTAGGTGTGGTCAGATGTCTGTTTTCTGTCCACTGTGATGCCTGGTTTCCTGTCTCCCACAGGCTTTCTGACACAAAGACAAGTGACAGGGCCAGATCTGTCAATACCACAGGGCAGACACACCCACAAGCAGTCACTCAAACAGCCGCTCAAAGGAAGAGGAAGATGACACAGCATGTACTCCACCACAGATACAAGACTTCCGACGGCTCTCCTCCCCAACTTGAGGAGTGATAAAAATTTTACGACAGTGTTACACAATAGCTTTGGAAAGGTATTATCCGCAGTTATAGATCTATTTGGGGTTTTAATGCCGATTTTATATTTACTTGCAAAAGTGTAATTTCCTGGAAATGCGATTCTTTTGAAAAAGAGGAAGTGAGAGTTCTGTAACTGCTTCACGTCAGTGCTGCCATTAAGAGAGGGAAATTAGAACCACTTGTGTGCTGTAATTTTATTGTTCTCATGCTACCATTTAAGAAGGAACTATTTACAAAGTTGATATTTAAGTCTCATTACATGCATTATATCCAGAAACCTGTGAATCGGAAAGGAAATTGAATT